TGTTATAAATGTGACAGTATGTCCGTTTTGAAACTGTTTCTTAAGCCTTTGGTGTGAACAGAAACTGTGCACTTTGTGCAACTATGTGTCCTCATTTGTGAAGCAAACAGGTGTCTGATATTTTTCATCTGAAGCTTTTATAATCTTTTGTGAAAGTGCTATAATTGTAGTTAGTCCCCCCCCCTTCATTGGTCAGATACTGTAAAAAAAAAGCAAATTTCTTCTTGGAAGACGATACTAGTTCTAGTTCTAATCAGTATGATATGAAATTCCAACACAGTGACAATAATGTGCTTCATTCTCACATTTCATGTCACGCTCAAAGCAAAGCCTCCCTTGAGTACACCCTAACAATGGGAACAGAGAGACACAGAGCCTTCATTTCAACAAAAAGCAAAAGTGACAATATGAGCAGAGCTCGAGGTCAAACTATTCACAAAACGTCCAACTCAATGAACTGCCTGTTTGAATTAGCCAACTAACGTGTCACGTTATTACATATTGACCATCCAAGCTGACTTTCACTACTGCCTGTTTTATAAATATTACTTTTAAAAAAAACTATTTTTAATATTATTTTTTAAATATGACTTCATTTTATGTCATGCACAAACCTGGCACATTGCACATATTTGCTGTTAATTGCTAATCATTGTTTATATTTTGTCAGTTTATATATTTATGTACACAATACTCTCGCCCATTGTATATAACTTGCATTTGTTTATTCCATATTTATATATTTCTACATTTATTATTAACTGTATGTTTGTCTACGTGTAGCACCCTATCACCAAAGCAAATTCCTTGTATGTGTAAAACACTACTTGGCAATAGAGCTCCTTCTGATTCTGATTTAATCATCATCATTTGGCAGAGTTATTTTCAGCTTGTGGGAGTGTCATGGTTTTTCCTTTGTCATTTCCTGTTTTATGTGTCTTTTGTACATTTCCTGCCTTTGTGTGTTTTCCTGCCTGTTTGATTGTCTGCCCCGCCCTAATCTGTTTCACCTGTGTCTAGTTATTCTCCCCTTACTTTTGTATTTAGTGTGTTCCCCCTGGTCTGTTGCAATCTTCATGTCAAGCGGTGTAGCCGTTTTCCCAGCGTTTTCCTGTGTTTTGGATTTTCTGCTTGATATATTGGACATTCTGGATTTTGTTGATTGCCTGCTCCCTTTTGGATTTGTTTGCCTTCTGGACTGTCAGCCTGGATTGGACCTCCGCCTGTAAGTGAGTATTCTCTTTTATTTTTATCATTAAAACCATTGAACTGAACCTGCTCTGCCTCTGCCTCTGTGTTTAAATCCCTTGTTTTCCAGTTATGTTTTATTTCTTCTGGTGGAACATTTAACATTTTGAATCTATTTGTCAGAATTCAGGCCCTCTCCAAAAAACTAATGAACAAGGTTTTGAGATCAGTTTAGCCACTATGACATGTAGTAGAACCCTCAACCCAAGAATCTACTTTTCCCTGAATTAACACAAAACTGCAAACCCTCCAGTTACAGTAGCTCTCACTTGTTTCATCATGTAATTACAACCATAGCCAAACTAAAAACTCTTGAAAACAATTTAGATGGATTAGATGCTCTTTTGATTCCCACCCAAGACATATAGTTTTAGATGGTCAGTGACTCTAATATGAACCTCAAATGTAGCTTTTATTACCTGTTTCACTTTAATTAACGTCATAAGTCAGCCAAACCTTCTGCCCATACAAACATCATTACATGGGTACATGTAAAAAGTTTTTTTTAAATGATAACAGACACAACATCTGCAGCAAATTATCTGCATATTGGTGCAAATTCTATTCTATGTTCTATTCTAGTTAATGAGAGGCGGCAGCAGGCAAAAGTGTAGTATAAATTATAGACAGCAGAATTCATATTTTTCTAAGACAACAAGAAAACATCATAAGCCATGAACTATGTGGCACTGGCAAAAACAATCTTTGCAAAATGTTCCAAGTAGACAGTAAAGAGACTCACACCTCTGAACTTATGTGCTCCCTCTCTATTTTCACAATGTCTATAGTATCATAATATAGAAATTATGAAAACTGCCTACTGTCCTTTTTAAAGGGAAAGAAGCAAACCAGATCTAGTTAAAGACAGAACTGTTTTTAGAAAAAGAATATATAATTCATGTAAGTTTGTGGGAGGAAATATTGTGATTATCCCCCAAAAAACTGGTTGCTACCTGAAAAACACTTTAATTCTCCGTGATGTTTGCAAGCTGCCTTCCTGCAAAAACTGTGAAGCCTAATATAGTCAAACTAATGTCAAAGCACGAACATTCATCTCACAGAACATCCTCAGAACTGGTTCCAACAGACACCAGACTGAGAAAGCACATCAGGCAATTACATCAAATTACCGCTGCCTTTCTTTAATATAATGGTGTCACATTTTAATAGCAAATTAAACACATGTAGTTAGTTGCTCATTTCAATCCCCCCCCCCCCCCCGTATTTTTCCTATAAAGTTCAAAATCATGTTTATTAAAAAAAACTGCTAGAAAAAAGTAAACGTTTTCCCGTCACAGGTCGCTTAGTGTAAAAGCCTCTTCAGGCTGAAAGTTGAGGGATTAAGTGATAAGTGTAACCTTTAGATAGACTTCAGAATTGTTATTTGCTCCCTGTGATAATGCAAATATCTTAAGTAGAACACCTGCTACTACCATTGACAGTGCACACATTCACACACCCATGAACCAACACATGCTTAGAAAGATTAGTGACCGTACAATCATCTTTACAGCATGTTTGTCTGCTGAAACATTACTAGCTTACTAAGTAACCGAGTGATACCAATGGAGCATTTTATATAACATTATTTTGTGTGGTTACAGGTTAAGTAAAAAAAATAAAAAAGCCCTGTTCACAAAAGCACATCCACTGTGTAGTATTTCCCCACTGTCTGGAAGCCAGCCCTGGATGCTACTATATGAGAGTGTAGACTACTGTTAGTGGCTGTGTGCTGCTCTTAATTGGACCTAGTAAAGTTTACACTCTAGCAACCTCAGCCAACCTTACCTGAGTATTACTGCCATTTTCAGAGATGTACTATCACACTGAGTTTAGAAAATGGGCTAACAATGAACTTAGAAAGAACATAATGAAACATCCTGTCCTCTTTTGTGTCAGTTTGCAGTGAGCATGATGCACAAGCAACGGAGCCATTAAAAACACAATAAATAGGATGAATCACTTATTACGACAACTAAGGAGACAACAGTGCTTCTATTTTTCTACATTATGTGCCAGACTGCCGGGGGTGAGGGTGTGGGGGGGTGGTGGGAACTGCTGACCATTTTAATGATGGTAACTGAAGCTATTAACAATGCCGTCACTGAGCAATGGCTGGATTTTAAGAAAATGGTGGTGATAGTAGCGGGAGGGGGTAGGCGGGGTCATCATCTACTATCTACCACGAATCTGTCAGCTATCCTGTGCCCTCCAGGAGATGTGCTGAGCAACACCAGTGGAGAGTGATGAGGGAGCTGATTTAGGTGTAGACACAAAGGGAAGCAAAGACAAGAAGAGAGAAGGGAGCTACAATAGGAGAAGAGACTATGTCAAGAATTGCTGAGGAAAACATGAAGATGGCAGCAGCCCACTCTTAATGAGTCATAAATCAGCTTGATATGAATCATCTCTACAGCGCTATTAGAGCAAAGTGTCTCGAACCTCATTAATTTCCATTAGGGAGCAGCTATCTGGTAAGTTTACCATAGCATCACATTTTCTCCAAGCCACTGTCTTTATGATCTTATAGTATCTCTCACAGATCTGCCTAAACACCATCAAGTTTTGGGGTCAGCCCCTTTCATTCCCAGCAGGGACGTGCACAGATATTTTGTGGGGCAGTGACTCATTTAAGTTAAGGGGAACAGCCCCTTCTCAACCGTTTACTATTTACTAAATATAATGTAGCATTTATTAAACCAAATGGTAGCTTTACCATCAATCAAAACACTTTTTGTGTACACCTACCAGAGATTTAAGAAGTGGCTGATAGATATTTCAGTTGTAATGATTCAGCTGTTGGCCTGCAACTGCTTTAAAAGCAACTTTGCAAAGCAGCACTTCCTTTAGCTGCCTCTCTCAGCGCTTTCTGTATCTGCCTCTGTCACCTCTTTTGAGGACATTGTCATTGTACACACAATATGCAACATCCAGTATGATGCATCATTTACAAAGCTACATGAAGTTTAACTAACTAGAGTTAACAAGTACCTGTGAGCAATTGTGTGCTGCACAATATCTAATGTAATGGAATCGGTATCAAAAGTTTACAGGCATAAATAGTTGAAAAGACATGATCACAAAACTAAACACCATGTGCTGCACTGCTGATTGACTGTAGCAATGACCACTAATTAACCGTCTTACAGTTATAAGCTTAGTTAGCACGCAAACATGTAAACAAGCCACTACCGCTGAGTAAATCCCCTGCAAAATAATAATTTTAAAAAGCATGTTGAGTTCAGACAGACAGACAGAAAGAAAGAGAAGGATGTGTGGAGCTCCTCCTCAACTCATTCACTGACGAAAATTAATGTCGACTCTGAAGACGATGACTTCATCGCTCATTCAACGGGAGCTTGGCAGGCTTTCCGCACTCGTAATTATAAGAAAAACTGCAGCAGCAGCAACAACACTGACAGCAATAGTTAGCAATTATAATAATCATTATAATTTATTTGTTTGGCCAAAAAGTGCACTTCAGCCAACAAGGGCAAAGAAGCAGCAACTGGAGGCACAAAAGCCACTACACTCAGCATGTCTGTCATCTGCAGTCACATGCAGTGAGAGAGAAAATGGACTCTGCTAAAATTAAGCTATGCTATTCCTTTGTCTTAGCGCCTATCTGCTTAACTCCATCCATACACATTCATTCAAGTTAAGAGGAGCACAGCATTAGAGTACTGAGGTGCTCCTTTAGGTGTGAAATCTACATTGGCTCTAAATACCCACACCAGCTCCCATTTTCTTACCAGAGAGGTGAAGATATACGTGTAGTAGACTGACAGCATTCCCAGCTCTGATGCCTGCAGATCAAAAGATAAGAGGGGCAGGAGGGGAGAGATAAAGCAAAAAGAATTTACAAAACAGAAATTCAAGGATTGGAGTGTGAACACAAAGATGTTAAGATGGAGGTCAGAGAAGCAGAGGAGGGAGGGGCATGAAACACAAAGCAGAGTGAGTCAGGAAGAAAGGGTTGTGGAGAGAAGTGAAGGGGTCAGTGATTCAGTGTAACTCAAGCTCCACTCTTCAGCAGACAGATCAAATCCACATCTTGATAAGACCAGACACATTCTTATCTGGCTCTCAATGGAGCAATTAATTTCTGAAGTACATTAGTATGCTGCTCGACACTCTGTCGTACAATTTGATTAAATCAAAGTCACAGTGAGAAGCATTTGTGGAGGACAGGGTGAACTTTTCATAGTTTCATTTCATTAAAGTCATTAGCAAAAAAGAAAATCATCAAGCTATAGATTTCTGTTTAATCATGCTGCAATGCACATTCAGAATAAAATAAATAAATATGTATATAAAAATATAAAGGCTTTTCAAAGAACGTCATGTTTTTCCAAAAACTTGACTGAAATTCTTCCTGAGCATGAATTAACCATCCTGCCCCTTCTCAGGTGCTACTCAGAGTATCTTTTCCACACCTGGATGTACTGAAATTTACATATTTCCATCATAAATGGCTTCAACACTGACATTATTCTAAGCTTGTGTATCATCAGAAAGAAATTAATAACAGACATTAGACTGTCATTTCTGCAAAAAGCCTAAACTCTGTGTGGGTGTTTGTGTGTCATTAGGAGTATATGTCACTCAGTTGTTAAATATTCAACTTGTGTGTTCTGCAGGAGCATAAATAAAAAAGAAGTCAAATGTGGCGATTATCATAGCAAAAAATCCAAATAAAACTTTCATTATTAAACTCTAAATGACATCTCAAGTTGTCTTTATAAAGCTTCCTCCTTAGAGTATATTTACTGCACTACTACTCAGAAAGTACTACCAGTATGTAAGGTAACTATTATGCTTCTGGGAAATTGTTTGTTAACACCTGGGGTTACACACAGTAAGTAAAGCTAACTAATTTTTCACCTTGAACAGTACCTTCATGTGGCAAGCAACATTTCAAAACATGGCATGTTTTTCTTGGGTGATCTGCGCCATTAATACTGTACCGAACATAAACTGACATTATAACCTAAATCGCCTTTGGTTGCTGCCCACATCCCATTCAGAAGACACAATACAACCACAATAAGCAGCTGATGAAAAATATCCTTCTGGTATCTTTTCGCTGCATTTTGAAATAAGCTTCTCTGCATTTTTGTCCACTTTTTGATCTCCTTGTTGTTCTACTGCAGCTTTTGGTCAGAGTGCACACGGTTTGCACTGCCCCCATATACTGGGCTCACTATCTATCCCAGTCTGGTTCTGTACAGCTGTGCACAACAGTGGAGGCCTGACTGAACAAGATTACATTCAGAATGCTAACACTGCTGACCTAAACCCCTCTGAATGCTAAAACCTCAGAGAGCAAGACCTTTGTCTGACGAGGGTTTGATGTAAGATGTAAACAGACAAATAAGGGGGAATGTCTTGCATGACAAAGGACGATTCTGTCCCTTTAGACAAGCTGGGCACTCTTATCATCATCTGAGACTGGCAAATATGCCGGCGCACAGCTTTGATATGTTTGGCAACTAGGCACTCCACATGAGATGCAGGACTGCCAACTTTACACCACCCTGCTGCAGGACTGTCTCTTGACAGACTGAGAGACAGACATCGGGACACACGGGGGAGACAAAAGAGTGAGAGAAAGAGGGATGGGTATACACGACCACATGGGGGAGGGAGGTGTGAAGAAACAAAGTGAAACTGTCGTCCCTGCATTTGAGTAGAGAGGCGAGAAAAAGAGCAACTCCATATTGAAACTGAAGAGACAGACGCAGGGAGAAGGCGAACAGAGGGCGAGCGAAAGAGAGACGTCCCACTGTGGGCTCCCACTGCTCTGTGGCCCAGGGTTGCCATGGTGACTGAATGACCACTGATGGCAGACTTGATTGAGGAGAGAGATTGAGATTGAAGACAAATAGTGAGATAGAGACTACAATGGAGAGAATGAGGGAAGAAGAGCTGGAAAGCAAGAGAAACATCTCTCCTTCCCTCTCCTCCCAACCCTCTTAAGTCTCCCGATATTGTCACCTCCACTCTAGCCATCCATTCATTGTTTTCTAGAAATAATGAGGTGTGTATTAATTACTAAGAGGCCATATGCTGCTGCCAAACATCCTTGCTTCCTCGGCTCCCACAATCCCCTTGATCCCCTATCGAAGCGATCAAAGACTCAGGAGAAGCTTCAACATTATGTTGGAGTCAAAGTGTCCATGGTCTTATAACGTTTTGAGACGTTACTGGTATGTGCCATTAGTTGACAAAACACATGTCGTACTATTTCTGTTACTGACAGAAATAGAGCTGACTTCTTCAAAAAGCTATTTCTACATAATTAAATTTATGGCTTTGCATGTTACATTATTTAGTTACATTTTCATGCAAAAGGTGTTTTTGGGGAAGGAAACAACAGATGGATAATAGATAAAGAAGGACATTAAAGAACCACTTGGTTTGCTTCAGTGACTTGCATAACAGCTGGTTTTAATCGATAACATGCACTGCATTAGAAAGTAGACAAAAAGGCTCCTTTATTTTATGAGTCTTTTCTTACTTACACTGATCCACTTAAGTGTACAGGATTCTCACTTGTGGAAGATGAATCATTGGAATACAACTTCATTTAATGCTCTCATCCATATAATTTGATGTAACAGGTTTGTTAAACAAGATTGCCTCAATTCATTTGCCTTTTATTTTGGGAGTGTGTTTTTGACTCCAGACTCAGTAACCATGTCTTTTAAAGCGGTGTCCACTGCCAAAAGTGCATAAATCCATGTAATCTCACTCGTGATTCAACACGGCAAATGTAGTACAGTGGTGAAATAGATATTTCCTTTTTCATATGTTCTGCACACTACGCGCTGTGCCATGTGGGAAATGTAACCTCTTTCACTGCAGATCAAAACTAGACTAACCAACCTCTTCTAGTTAAAAACATTCTCCACACATAATTACTTATAGCCTTGAACACTTCTTGCCATTGGCATATTTCAGTTACTTTTTCTTTTTGAGATGTACGAGAATTAGAAAGATGTGGATCTTGGGAATTTTTTTCATGAGGTTAAAGTATGAAGACTGCACACATGGAATAAAGACAAGTTGTCAGTGCATAAATAACACAGCTGTCATGTGAACCATACTAACCCGTTCCAAAATGATATGTGACATAGTGGCGTTGGCGTCGACTATAATAGTGGCAGTCTTGTCGTCTCGGATCTCCTTCAGTAGCGGGGTTGGGTCCTGGCTGTCATCAAGCATGCGCACTGACAGAGTCTCCTTGGAGATGAGGAACTGCCTGAGGAGCTGCTCCAGGTTCAATAAGCCTGCCGGTAAGACACGCACAAAAAGTAAAAAAAAAAAATACACAGACAACAGGGTTACTTGTAATGAAGGGAAGACTCTCCAAAGGAGATGAAGCTCTGCAGTCTTTTTTTAAAAGTTAAGACAATACATAGCCAAAAAGTTAAGGAAAGTCAGGTGCATTGAGAGAGAGATGTCTGATATTGTAATGCAGTGTGAATTTAATAAGCATCACTGTACTCAAGTACAAACAAATGTGCCTCTTGTTTGTTTTTCTGACACATTTGACAACAATGAATGTGTAAACAAGTGGACTGATTACCTTTAATTGCAATTACTGTGAAGCCATCTAACACAAAGGGACATTTCAGCAACTTATCCTGTACTCTATCCTATGGTAATAGACCGTTTGACTCCAGTGAAGCAAGTGGGATTTGCCCTAATTAAAGAATAGCCGACTTAATCAAAACGCTCCTGGCAGCATTTTACCACTCACTTTGCATCTATATATTAGCAGACCAGGAGAGTTTACTAGGCTAATTTTTCATATAGGAGTTTAAACTCATTTGTGAGGTGTGTTACAGAGAGAACAACCTCATGTGACAGTTATGTTGGCCTCACCGTGGCAGATCTCACTACACTCATGTGACATTTCTTGATACTGGCAAGGAGAGTCATTTGAGAAGGACATAACTTTGTGGAGAAGGACTTTCATTAGCCGAGCCTCCACCTGCCATTTCCATTACAAAGTAATAAAGAAACGGTACTTGAGACTTTGGCATCAACAGCTATTTTATGTAATTTTTGCCATGGCGACAGCAGAGTAGTTCGTCTGTCCCACAGAGACCAATTTTGGTGTAGCAATTTTAAGTTCTCAAGCTGAGTCCTTTAGCTTCTCCACAGCACATTAACACAAGCTACAACACTGACCCAGTCACCAGCATCACGTCTAACAGCTTCTGCAATTATGTCTCAGTGTCTGCCTGTCTCTCAGCCTGTCTGTATGGCGGTATATCACTGTGTGTGTTTGTCTTCCTGTACCTGGCTACCTGTGTCTGTGCACTCATGAGACATCATTTCTGGCTGCTGCTTTCTTGCCTGCCTGTGTCTCAAACCTGTCAGATCAGCTTCCTCTGTAGTATAACGCAGAATATATTTGATGAGCTTGAAATAGCTTCTGCTAAACCGTCCTCCTTGTCTGCCTCCTGCCTCCACTTCTCTGTGGCTTCTCACAGGGCATCAAATACAATTTCACGTCAAGTGCATGACGTTAGACGGTGCACTGCGCTAGATGTGGCTGGCTAAAGAGCATACACACATTCACACACAAATAGAGTGACACAGAAGAAAAGTTCATATTCTCTTTAGTGTTCTGGCTACACAGGATTCAAAGGGGAGACAGAATCTTTTTTTTGCTAGGGTGTCTTACAGCTGCCATGTTCCCTCACTGTTTGCTCTGGTGAACCAGTTTCAAATAAAAAACATACAGCTGAATGAAAGATTTACTCTTCTTTAGTTAGACTTGTATAGGTTGCTGTAGAGAGAAAAGAAATTCTGTGGGATTGTGTGTGTGTGTATGTATGCTTGAAACTCTGTCTTTATGAGGACCAAGTTTAAGAGCCAGAGAGTGAGGACATTTTTGAAAAGTGAGGATATTTTGGTTAGTACTCACTTAGATGGATTAGATTAGAAATAGGTTTAGGTGAAGTTAGTCTTAAGCTACTAATTAAATCAAATCAAATTTCTGATAGGATCTCTTCATTAAGTACTTGTCATTGCTCCTAATGGTGTCCACTATTCCTGTGCAGGATTAAAATTTACAACAGACACACAAAAGAGACTGACAGGAAACAATCCATGCATGACATTACTCTTTGTAATATTTCTTAGGCTGATTCAGCCTCACAGTAAACTGATGGCTCCTCTGTGCCTGTATCAGAGCTGTGGTAAGTTACTGCAAATGCTGCTGGCAAACCACTGTGTGGCTTTTACTGTGAAGCAGCCACAGAAAATGCAGCTGTTACCGCCGGAAACCATAGGCATCAGAAATCAACATGGACTGAAATATTAAATTTATCTTTAGCTTTGTGTAGTTTTCTTTGTCAGTGTTATTCACGCATTGTGTGTATTGTTGAGGTCTAACCAACGGTGTTATATACATTTCCTTCCTCATAAAACATGCAAAATCAATTTTAGAGTATTTTTAATTCTGTATTATTTACATCCATGTTTACTAACTTGGAGTCTTCTTCTTCGCTGCCTTTGCTGGTATTGGTAGGAATGGGGATTAACCTGTTTATATAACACAGTACCTGAATATGAACCCCTTGGCACGTGTAGGTGAATAATATATAATGAAACCTTAGGTCACAGACAAAGCTTTTAACACAGGCCCAAAAGCCCTGATGACAGCCGTACATTATGGTGACTCATCGTTTAGCCTCGAACAGTGAATAAGGCCACGCTTTATGACTTTGCACCTGTTGGGACCATCACTTTAAAATGCTGTTGACAAGATCATGTGTCAAAACATTTAAAGTATGTCTCAGCATATTCCCCTTCCCATTAACCTAAATAACCATAAAAGCAGAACCATCAATACCAACTATACTACAGCACCACCACCCTGTCACACGGGTGGTGGTGCTGATTTCAGATGCTCCTGCTGATCATTCTTGTTCTCTCTGCAAACAGCATTTTTATTCATCCTTCATACGGCACACATTACTTATCCTACAGGAATATCCATTTGCAGGTTTTTCAGTTTGAGTGTGATATTACTACATAAGTGGGATGGGGTGGGGGTGCTAAGAGTTGCTGTCAGAGTTCAGGTGAACCTCTTTTGTTGAAAAACTGCCCTCTACGGAGTGATTCACAAGGGATACTTCTATTTAAATTGTGTCTGCCGTTTTATTTTGTCTTTAAAAGACAGGTAACAGTGGAATAAATGATGGGAGCAGAAAGGAAGAGATTAAATGCATGATAGGTCCCCCCTGGATTTAAATCCAGAGTGTCACAGTCACATGTCAAACTCCACTAGACCACCACCATGTCTCTTGCTGTGTTTTTTGATGGGGAGAAATCACCCTATATCTCATGTGATTTCTTTTCCAAAGTAGGTAGAAATAGCAAGCAAAGACTTTGCATTTGACTCTTGCAGAGTCAATTTCTGCACATTTGCACCTATGCAACCCCACTCACTCTGCACAAATCCAAAATCTCATTATATTGAGCCAACACATCTTTACAAAAAGCAAAAGCCAACTGCTTACCATCTATTCAAGGAGAAACTTTACTTCTAGCATCACTACCATCACCTTGACAACTTACATCGCTGCCTTCCTCATCAGGATCATTAGTAGCCGCAGTATAATTACTATTATCAAATTCAAAAAGACCATGCCCTGCAATTACGATGTTCCTGTCTTTCTTACATCTTTGTATACAATACATTCCTGTTCACAATTCATTGAGCCATCTCTTCCACTTGACTTACGTTGATTACAGGCTAGTGGTGGCAACATCGCAGTGTGAAACATGGAGAGACACTAGGTCACCTCCAGAAACTGTGTGTAATGGAGAATTGTAATTCATTAAATAACATGGGCAAGCAATCATAACCAGAAAAACCCCCATAGCAATCACGTAGCATAAGGCAACTATGTAAATTAGCAGATTATAGTGGAGACCTGATACAACGACAAGTACTGAAGTGTTTTTTTTTTCTATTGTAGCGGCAGTGGAAAAATGCAGTGAGGTAAAATGCCAAACCGTGCTCTCCAGCTGTGCCTATCAGAAGTTGGGGAAAATGCTCTGCAAGCATTTGAGGCCTACTGTTTTGTTGGACTTAGAAATCTTGTACCAGCACTGCAGCTCCAGCTAAATTTCAGAGCGTATTGGATGTTCTTTTTCAGCTTACTGACAGCTGCACCAATCAACTCACTAATGAAAGTGCACTGCTGTAGCAGTAGTGCCAGGGAGTACGGGAACAGCATGCATGTATGTGTGTGGTTTGAACAGTGTACGTGTGTGCATGCGGGCTGATTCTGTGCGTGCATTTCAACGTGTGTGTCTCTTTTCATTTACCAAAGGCCACAGCCTCATGACATGTGGGGCCACCCAACAGATCTAAAAATTCAACCACATGGGCAGTGTTCTGGGCAAGAGTTAGATTAATGTCCATCCTGGTGTGCTCCATGCCTTTGGGCAGAGCTCCACCTCCACTCCTGCCTCCATGGGTGGAAAATATTCATGAATTGGCCACGCTCTATTAGGCTGTCACTGACTTGGGTGATTAATGAGACCGGCACGTGTGGACGAGCCACCAACAGCAGACTGCCAACCGACCAAGTGACTGCGGGAGGAGGGGTGGGGCTGCGCAAGCTGGAGCTAAAGTCGAATGGGTTTCAGCTGATGCTGTTGCTGAACACAAACCTTTACACACACACACACACACACACACACACACACACACACACACCCAGGCACACTGCCATTTGCTGCATTTTCTGTTGAATGAATGAGGGTCACAGAAGAGGGTGCAATCAATACAGCCACGTCATTTCCTGGACTGTCTCTTGCAGTAAATGTATAATTCCAGTGTGGTTACCACCTACTCCTCCCCTTACCCTAATCACTACATTTCACCTCTCTAACATCTGACAAATAGCATCCTCTCCTCTCCTCTCCTCTCACCTCCAATTTCAGACTCCCGTTGGTATATTCTATCTACCTCTCATCTCTTCTCATTTCATTTCTTTTCATTTGATTTAATTTCCTTTCCAGTTCGCTCTTAGCCCACTGACACAGAATAAGAACCAACCCGCACACCCACACACAACCAGAGGGAAGAAGAACAGTAATGTTAAAATGAGTTTCTTTTCTCCAAACTTGCCAATATTAAAGTCAGAGGGTGCCTAAAAGGTTCACTTGTTATCACTGTTCTCGCCGGAGCTGTATTAATCAACTCTCTGAGGAATGAATGTCACAGAAACAGAATCTGAGCACTGAATTGGAAGAATGACTGACAGGTTAAGGAACACCTAGAAGGGAAAAAAAACAATAACGATTTATTTCTGACAATTGCAGGTATAATTAGGTATTGGGTTTGGGTTATTAAACTACAATTACCTCTATATTGTCTTTTGCTAAGCTTAATTAATTCTTCCCAGCAACATTTTACAATTTCTGCATAATAAACTGCCATCTTTAGCAAAATGTTTTCAAAAAAGGTACCCTCACATTTGAAATAATTTACTGTAACTGCATTTGCACACACACACATTTTGGTTTAATACTTGAAACACAGTGCTTTGAGGTCTTAAAAGTTATGAATGAAAGGAGTCTCCAGAGTAAAGGCCAAGAGACAGTCAAAGAGGAAGTTGAAAGGCAGAAGAACTGAGACTTGAGATAGGTGGGGTGGGCGGTTCACAGTGGCTCATTGCCATCTCTGGGCTGTTTGACACATGGTTGATATCTCAAGCCTATTTCCTCTCTTCAAAGCCTTGTGCTGATTAGGAGAAAGGTTAGAGGGTGCCACTCGAGGTCATGGTGCCTTTGTCTAGGGAGTTGTAATTACTGCTTGCTGTACTACAAGAGGGTGGGAACAGGCCATGATTTAATCTTCCTTTCTATTTACAAAAATAACTTCCCTCGAGGAGATTTTCAAGCTTTTTTAAGGTCATTCAGTTTAGTATCTATGGAATCTAACGAGTGCCTTTGACAAGGAGGCGGTCAGCGGTTACAGCTGCAAACTCCATCTTCATTCTCTTTTGTCTGTCTTAAGGATGTGTTTTGATCATCAGCAGGGTGTGTTTACACAGAGTGTTGTAGTAAACACACAAGAGATTGAAGGTTGAGGACAGATTATACATCACACAGTGTAATATCCTATCTCATTATTTTAATTTAAGGATGATAAGAAAAAAAAAGATTCTGCAGTACATGTAATTTATTTTGAGATGCATGCTTCAGGCGTGATACTGTGGGGGAGTTTTAGCTGTGGAGTGCAGCAGCTGCTTCAAAACGGAGCGTGTCACAGGGTGAGATGTTGATAAGCACTGCATCTGTTGTCAGAACACAGTCGGTGTGCGTGTGAGAAGCTTATTTGTGCTAACATGTGTTAAAGGAATCCAGGCAAACAAAAATGTTTGCACTTTGTTGACAGATGTAGGGAAGGCATGTGAGCCTTCTCCCCAGGTGTGTATGACTTTGCATTTTGTCACGAGGGTGTGAATGTTGTACTCACAGTCAGCCTGTGCACAGATGAGGCAGGCGGTGGTGCTGTTAAAGAAGGTGAGAAGGCCAGCCACAGCCAGGCTGATGTCGGTGTTGGTTGGCCTCAGGTCCAGAGTGGTGAATCGGGGGAACTGAACCTTCAGAATGTCCTCTGGAGCCACCTTTACATACGGCACCTGTACAGAGATGCTAATGTCAGGACATCTGTTGCATTTTAATCATTTGCAGTTGATTTTGACATGTTGCATTCATATTCATGATCAAAACTGCAGCAGACGTCTGCAGACAACCGTAAAATAGATAAAAACAAGGGAAAATGTGTGTGAACTGCTGCCAGCAGACAGCCAAAAGAAAGAATAGATCTATCAGTCAGACAATCAGTCTAATCTGTTACGATAAATTGCCAGCAAGGATAACCCAGGGGTCTGTGGTAATGTGCATATTCAGAATAAACATGTCTTTCAGTAACTGAGGTACTGAAGCTCATGTAACGTATAGATCTAAAAATGTGTTTTGTTTCACCCACATGAATAACAAGGGTTTATTATTTCTATTCCAAAGAGGGCAGGGTAGTGTAGAATGTGTCGCAATAGACAGTTTATTTTTTATAAAATAAAATGTAAGTAACATATATATGTACAAGTTAAGGCGCATTTATACTTGTGCGCAGGTGTGTCCGTCATTCTGCAATTACACCCCCAAACGCTAGTCGGCAGTAGCGCTACAGCGTCCACTGCGTAGCCCCATAGCCTACGCCGTCACCTACGCCGTCGATTCGATGCATTTTGAAGTATAAATTACACTTTAGAGTACAAATATAGAGCGCAGAATAGATGAATGAATAACAACAAAACAAAAGAGATATAAAACAAGCATAACATAACACAAAAATATTACTGACCCCCCGCATTTGATGTCCAGTTAATTAATGTTTCTGTAAAGTTCTGCCAGAGTTAGCTCCTCTCGTTCCTCACCGCATAGCCCCTCCCTCTGCGTCTGTACACAGCCGTCTACTCACAAAGGCCCTCATTTATCATTCTTGCGTAGAAACAGGCGCATATGTTGGCGTAAGATTATGCTTACACTCCTCTCACCGCGTGATTTATGAAGCTGTACGTACCTTTGAAATCCAGGTGTACGCAATACCTGCCCTTGATAAATGCTGCGGCTGAAAACGATAGAATAACACGCCCCTATATATTCAAGTTTCCGCTTCCCCCACGCCCTCATTTTACGCCATGGACACACGGAAGACGGCAAAGAAGAGGAACTTCTCCGATGTGGAGATGGAGACCATCACCAGGGAAGTGGAAAGAAATAAAATTGTTTTATTTGGGAGTTTAAAGAGTGGGATTAAAGGCGCCCACAAAAACAAAATATGGACCCAAATTACAACTTCTGTTCACGTCACATGTATTGGGGTGTACAATAGTGATGATGATGTGATGTGGAGTACCATTCATTCACATTAATAATTGCATGACAATTTGTAATATTCTTCTTCTTATTATTATGATTTTTATTATTATTGTTATTTAGAAGAAGAATGTCATTATTATTTTTATTATTTAAGAAGAAGAATGTCATTTTTATTATTATTTTTTTAATTTATTATCAGTCTGAATTATTTTTTGTTCATTGAAAGCCTTTCATTACAGAACCCAGTCCGTGCGCACCTGCCGGGCCTAACCCTGAAACGTCAGGTAAAGCGCACAGGCTCCACTGGGAATAGCTGAGGCCTGAGTACAGATTTATCCTAACTGTCATCCATCATTCTGTTTAAGTGCAGTTATAGTTTTTGCGTTGAAGTGGCTACAATTCCTACTATTGCGACATCAAGGGATGATGCTTACATTTTGTTTAATGCAAGATATTAGTCAAACGCTGAGCAAGAAAAACATAGACAAAACAATCTCATGTTGCTTTAGAAACATTTTATTATTCTCTTCAAAATGTCGAGAAAAGCAAAACACTGCGAAAAAAAAAACAAAAAAAAACCTTAGATGGCATTTTGAATGTGCATTCGGGTGCTGACTTGTGGCTGGTTTCGTGAATCTGCACCGTGCATTTTTCCGTTTTTAGGCAATAATATAGTCAGTTTGACCTGCAACTTTTATTTGTGTCACAGCCTATTTTTGTTTGGATATACACTGAAATAAAAGCAACCCCAAATAAACAACAAATGAAGGAATACATATGCCTACAAATCAAATGCTTTGGTAAAGTCACACAAATTAAACATTTAAGTCCATGTTGCACAAAAATAAACACTGAAGTTTATAATTACTATGTTGTTTTGTTGTTTTTTTTTACAGTGGGTCATAATATATCATATCTTTTAGTTTGTCAGTGCACTCCCATAAACCTTGGTTCCCTGCAGCAATACATAAATCCAGTAGTCACCAATTTAGGCATCAAAATTGACAGTGATTTTAAACTTGACAAGCAAATAAACACTGTGGTTAAATCAAGTTTTTATCATTTGAGGCTTTTATCTAAAATTAAACCTGTTTTATCTTTTGATCTTCTTGAGCATGTGATTCATGCTTTTATCTCGACCCGTTTGGATTACTGTAATGCACTTTACATTGGTGTGAACCAAACCTCCCTCTCACGCCTGCAGTTAGTCCAGAACACAGCTGCTCGTCTTTTAACAGAAACCCGGAAACACAAACACATTACCCCCATTATGGCCTCGCTCCACTGGCTCCCTGTACATTTTTAGATTTTAAGTTTGTTTTTAAGTCACTTAATGGGTTGGCACCTCAGTACATCTCTGAGCTCCTGCACACTTACACCCCGCCAAGGTCACTGAGGTCTGCTGATCAGCTGCGTTCGAACGTGCCCAGGACCAGGCTGAAGATCAGGGGCGATCACTCTTTTTCAGCAGTTGCCCCCAAACTGTGGAATGACTTACCTCCTCACATTAAAGTGGCGCCCAACCTCTACACCTTTAAATCTCGTTTAAAAACATATTTTTATTCCCTGGCTTTTAATTCACCATGAGAGCTGCTGTGGTCTTCGTTGTCGCTGTCAGTGTTGGTGTTATTTGGTTATTATTATTATTTTTTTTATTTATCATGAGCATATTTTATATCATCTCTGTATAACACTTTAGTAACCTTGTTGTTTTTTAAATTGTGCTATATAAATAAAGTGGATTGGATTGGGTTAACTGTAAACCGTTTTACTCCCCCCGTGATTTTGCTTTATTCATTCTGGTCGGTGTTTACATTCTGCTGCACGCCAACGTCCACGACCCACAGCGCATGCTGGCCGACCAGATACTGTGTGTGGAGCAGACAAACCCGGATTCCCTTGTCATTGTTCTTGGTGTCTTTAACAAAGGAACTCCCCAAATACAGACAGTTTATAAAGTGTCCAACCAGAGAGGGGAACACTCTGGATCACTGTTACACCACAGTTAGCAGTGCCTATCACGCCATTACACGCTCTTCACTGGCACACTCTGATCATGTCATGGTCCAACTGATTCCTGCTTAAAGACAGAAATTACAACTAAACCTGTAGTGAGGACGTCAAAGAAATGGACCAGTGAAGCTGTAGAGGATCTTCAGGCGTGTTTGGACTGCACTGACTGGGATGTTTTCAGGACTGCTACCAACAATCTGGATGAGTTTACAGAGGCTGTGACGTCCTACATCAGCTTCTGTGAGGACAGCTGCATTCCAACACGCACCAGGGTGAGTTATAAAAATGACAAACCCTGGTTCACAGCTAAGCTCAGACAGCTGAGGTTGGAAAAGGAAGAGGCATTTAGGAGTGGGGACTGAGCCAGGTTTAAGGAGTCAAAGTACAGGTTTAGCAAGGTGGTGCGAGATGCTGAACAGAACAGCTGAATGCAGAGAGACTACAACAGAAGTTCTCAAGGAATGACTCTGCTTCGGTCTGGAGAGGATTCAGACAGATCACCAGCTACAAACCTAAATCCCCCCACTACTTCAACGACTCTCGCAAAGCAGCTGGTCTGGACTCTGTCTCCTCATCCACCCTGAAGCACTGTGCTGATCAGCTGTTTCCGGTGTTCACAGGCATCTTTAACACCTCACTGGTGTCACGCCATGTTCCAGCCTGCTTCAAAGCCTCCACCATCATCCCTGTCCCCAGAAATCCAAGACCCACGGGACTTAACGACTATAGACCCGTTGCCCTGACCTCTGTGGTAATGTGGTAATGTCTTTTGAGCGCCTTGTGTTGTCCCACCTTATATCCATCACAGACCCACACCTGGACCCCCTGCAGTTCGCCTACAGAGCCAACAGGTTTGTAGATGATGCAGTTAACATGGCCCTTCACTACATCCTCCAGCACCTGGACTCCACAGGAACCTACGCCAGGATCCTGTTTAAGGACTTCAGCTCCGCTTTCAACACCATCATCCCGGCCCTGCTGCAGGACAAGCTCTCCCTGACTGACTCCACCTGCAGACTTCCTGACAGACAGGAAGCAGCACGTGAAGATGGGAAAACATGTCTCTAACTCCAGGACCATCAGCACAAGTTCCCCTCAAGGCTGCGTTCTTTCCCCTCTGCTCCCTGTCCACCAACAGCTGCACCTCCAGTCACCAGTCTGTCAAGCTCCTGAAGTTTGCGGATGACACCACCCTCATTGGGTTCATCTCTGGAAACGCAGTGGAGATGGTCATGGACTTCAGGAAGAGCCCAGCCGCACCCTCCCCCATCATCTTGAGTGACTCCCCCGTAGCCAATGTGGACTCCTTCCGCTTCCTGGGCACCATCATCTCCCAGGACCTCAAGAGGGAGCTGAACATCACCTCCCTCACAAAGAATGCCCAGCAGAGGCTGTGGCAGCTGAAGAAGTTCAGCCTGCCAAAGACAATGATGGTGCACTTCTACACCGCCATCAATGAGTCCATCCTCACCTCCTCCATCACCATCTGGTATGCTGCTGCCACTGCCAGGGACAAGGGCAGGCTGCAGCATATCATTCGCTCTGCAGAGAAGGTGATTGGCTGCAACCTTCCATCACTTCAGGACCCGCACGCCTCCAGGACTCTGAGGCGAGCAGGAAAGATTGCAGCTGACACCTCCCATCCTGGCCACAAACTGTTTCAGACTCTCCCCTCTGGCAAGAGCCTGTGGTCCATCAGGACCAAAACCTCTCGCCACAAAAACAGCTTCTACCCGTCTGCAGC